ACACCAAAGAGAAAGGAAGCATCCGAGATCAAAGAATCCTTCTAAGAGAGACAGGTACGAACACTGAATATAAATCAAAGGACAAACAAAAAGAAAAGATAGAGAGAAAGAGCGAGATAGCTATACGTAACTTCTAGGGTGAAAAAACTAATAAGACCAAGACTTTGGACAATTCAATCTCAGGCAATATATCACGTATGGAGATAATCAATAATCAAGCAAATGAAAAGAGCAACATTAGGAAATCCACTTAAAACCTACACAAATGAAATGTGTGGCCACATTTCAGCTTAGCAATGGCTCGGGAGTTATTGTCGACCACGTCCTCCAAGCAAATTGAACACTCTCCGATGAATGGAGTTTCCTGTGCAGCAGAAGAAACCTGACTTCTGGAACCCATAACTCTTAATCTCACAGGCACTTGTTGCTCTCACTCTACACAGTATATCTTAACAGATATTAGACCCAATAATATTTGCTTGTATATATAGAAGAGATTAGCAGGTTCATGAACTATTTTATTCGTTGTCAAGTATATCCACCTGGGCTTCGGTGTGGAATGGCTCCTTGTCATAAATGATTCTGTTAATATGGAAAGTAAATAATAATGGTTACCATATTTCCAAAAAGCAAAATCAAATTACAATGTACTTTTGAACTAGAGTAACATTGGCCCTCTAAACTTTTACATGTAACAGTTTGACCACCAAAACATCAACTCTAACATTTGAGACAAAAACTCCCCACCTATTCTGCCTCTCTCCCTAACGCTATGTATGTTGAGCTTACAAAGGAACATATAGTATAGAAGGGCGCCCTTTTTTCATTAGTAAAAACTCAAGGGGCGAATGTAACATTACCCAAAAGATACAAGAGAAATATGAATTTTCTTAAAGAACTGATGCACCCCTCTACTCGTTTTACTTATTGATGATGTACTTTGTTCGGCATTATTCAAGTATATCCAAGCTGTCACTGAAATCTTAATTACTTGTCTTTTTGGGTGCAACCTTGCTCTAGATTTGATTTTGCTGACACAGAAAATAAATCACTATTAAACTTGTGGACCAAAACAATTTATGAAAACATATCTGAGCATTTATGCATGTCAAACAACTTTTAAGAAGCATAACAACATAATGGCGTGCTGCAACAAATGAATTATGAGTATATCAAAGCATACAATTTTCTTTTATAAAACGTCAACTTTAGTTATTTTACTACACTGCTAAAGCATTTAGTCAAGGGTATATGTATGCACACGTAACTGTGAAACCAAAATTTTTCATAAAGGTTAGGATTTAATTTGCTCGTGACTAAGGATATTTCTGGAGACATTGCACTCATAATGATGAGTTATAAAGTAACATCAAATTATTATATCTTTAATCAATAGTCTAAACCCTATTTTCTATATTACATGTACAGCGAGAAATATAATCTTGTAACCATTTAATTAAGGATTAAACGCAATAACTTATAAGTCATCAACGACAACTAACCCTAACAGGGTTACACCCGCTCAAAAATAAGTGATATTTGGTTTTTTTTTGCGATTCTAATCTATACTTTGTAAAAGTGATGATTAAGCAAAAACTTTAATGATAATCGATCTTGGATCCTAATAATTGTATGTATTGCATGGGGAATACCTAGGAGAGAATTAATAAAACCTAAAACGAGTATTGTTTTTACTAACTGAACACTTATTATCCACTTTTATTTTCTAAAAACGTATACAATATAATAAATTTCTAATTAGTAACTGCAGTGAAAGAAACAATTGAAACCCTATCTATGTAATGAAAGATATGACAAACATATGAGCATTTTTTTTTAGATTTTGTAAAGTCAATGGTAAGGTGTTGATCTTATTTGGTTTTATTTATGTTTTATGGAACTTAAAAGAAGTTTGCTTTTTATGGCCTATAGATATTAATATAACTAAAAATGCAACATAACTCAGCTAATTGATTTTCTTCATCATTTTATTTGAATTCTTCGTCATTCTTTCTATTATAAAAATATGTACATATTTTTTCGAATTCTTAAAAGAATTTTCTAAACCATGGACTGCAATATCAGCTCCAATGCAACACTATATCGCAAATTCACCTGTATCTAAAGCTTATTAATTTGCTAGTTTTCTAGCTGTTAAATACTATCAGAAGGTTATAATATGTCAAACTCCATCCAATTAAAAGCTTTGTAGTCCATGAATCATCAGTTTTCAATGCATCCTAATCCATAGTTTGGTCTTCATACTTTAATAGTTATTCTAACTTGTTGAATAAAATATATAGCGAATAAGTTTGCTCAAATCTGCAAGTGACTATTTAGGGATCAGTTAGATGATCTAAAATTTTTTTTGAAACAAAAATGTGTTACAAATATGATTATTTCAATTGAATGTTCGAAATACCAAAAAAAAAAAAATTTTTGAATCAACACTCTTGCCCAAAAACTCATGAGGCATAAACTTTAATTACATCCACTAGAACAAAGAGGATCCATATTTGAAAACAATTTCTTTTAGTAATAAATAGCTTCAAAGGAAACTATATGCCTTGACTAGAGTATTAATATATAACTCACTTCAAATTACAATGACAAGGGAATTAGACCTTTCACACAACTCAATGAATCACTTGGTCCGAGCAGAGCAGTAGATGCCATGCCATGCCATGCAGATGTCTAGATTTCTTTGTGCACTAATTGTGCTTTAATCCTTTCAATTAGTATTTTTTTGCCATTTATCTATATATTATTTTACTTAGGAATAGTAGCCAGAAATTAAAAATTTCCAAGAGAACAATTTCATCGGTGATAGATTTTACGGACTGCAAAAGTTAGGCTGAACTTTTCCGCTCAAAAGAGCAGACCTCAATTTTGATAGGCCCAAGTTTCTTACCCAGGACAATTCCATTTCTATAGAGTATAAAGCCCAACCCAAAATAAAAAAGTCCGTCTTGTCATTGAGCCCGCGAATTAATCCAAATCTGGAACTCCTGAGTCCTGAGCCTTAGTATTCATCTGAGACTGAGAAGGACGAAATTGTCAATAAACGAAAGATTATCCTATTTTTGTAAATTGATGTTCTACTTCTTCCCCAGAACCCTCGCCCTATATATTGTGGCTGCCCAAGCTTCAACCTCTCTCCCTTGTAGCAGTAACCTTTTGTCTGGAGCGATCCGAGAGCTAGGCTTGTCCTCATCATCATCATGTTGGTCTATCAGGATTTAGTCACCGGTACACACACTTTTGACTTTTGTTTTTCTGGTTTTACGAATGAATTTGTAGTTCTATAGATGTGTGATCTGATTGAGTTGCTTTTGCTTTCTGGGCTTGGTTTTTAGTTATGTATAACGGGTTTTCGATAGGGTTTTTGCAAGGTTAATTTCTAGATCTGTGTTAGATTGAATCTGTAGTTTGCTCTGTGGTGGCCTTTAGTTTTTGAGGGGTTTGATGGTTAATTGGATTCTGAATTGTTGTTACCAATGGTTTAATTTTTCTTTGTTTTTGCTCTTACTGATTGTTTGTGATTTGATTCCTATTAAAAATCAAGTCTTTTTTAAATTTCCGTGTTAAAGATTAAGTCTCTTTCGCATGCGCTCGGGAATTGGATGATTACATTTTCAGAACTTATGTTTTGGTGCAAAAGGTCAGCGGAATTGTTTGGTTGTCGCAGTTTTTAGGTGGATATACACGTGTTGTTACTATTGAGAGTGGATATCTACCCGGTTTTTGACATCCTCCCCCCCCCCCCCAAAACACCAGTTGCTCTTTCTGCCTATGAACATTTTGGAATGGGTTGGAGAAGGCTGATTCTGATTTGTAACTTGGATCGGAAGTCTGTGTGAAATTTCTTTTGTTATTGCATTGATAGAGTGGGACTAAACTTTCTCTTGGATATAAAAAGAGATTTAAAAGAAGGATTGTGCTCATTTAATTAATCCGATTTTGTACTATTAGCTACTGCTGATTAATGTCCCCTGCTACTTTCTCTTACACCGGCTTTTAAGAGTATGTTTTGATTTGTTTTGGTGAATCTCGTGTTTAACTCTCTTCTCGATTCACTTCTATGATTGTGTAGGTGATGAGCTTCTCTCGGACTCGTTTCCATACAAGGAAATTGAGAACGGGATCCTCTGGGAAGTTGAGGGAAAGGTGAAAATTGTTCTCTTTTCTGTTTAACTTGCTTAATTTTGGAAAAGATCTGAATTTCTATTATGATGATCATTACTTGTGCAAGCATTATGACTTGTCTATTGTTCGTATGTTGGCAACCAATGAGTTTCTTATTCCAGCATCTTTTTACCTTACATAAGAGTATAAATGATTAAGAGTTTTGTAAAGTCTGATTTGCTGCAAATTTGTAAATTCCAGTGGGTTGTCCAAGGAGCTGTTGAAGTAGACATTGGTGCAAACCCTTCTGCCGAAGGTTGTGGAGAGGATGAGGGTGTTGATGACCAGGCTGTGAAGGTGGTGGACATTGTTGACACATTTAGGCTCCAGGTTTTTGTCTGATTTTACTATTTGGATGAGGTTGACTATTGCGTTTAGGGAATATGAAGCTAATTTATTACCTTGCAGGAGCAACCTCCTTTTGACAAGAAGCAATTTGTTGCATACATAAAGAAGTATATCAAGTTGTTGACGCCAAAGATAGATGCAGAGAAGCAAGAGCATTTTAAGAAGAATATTGAGGGCGCAACCAAGTACTTGCTCTCAAAGCTCGGTGACCTCCAATTGTGAGTGCAACCTCCTTTAATGCCCCCTCGTTCACTTTTCTTTCTTTTTTTTTTATTTTTCTGCTTGTAATTCTTTGGAAGTATTTGATTGTTTGAGCACACTGCAAATTAGAGTTTTTATACTAAATGGTCAAGGTTCACTCATGTTGACAGTTTTGTGGGGGAGAGCATGGCCGATGACAGTACCTTGGTGTTTGCTTACTACAAAGATGGTGCCATCGATCCGACTTTCTTGTATTTTAGCGTTGGCCTGAAGGAGGTCAAGTGCTAGATAAAAATAATGTTGTCTTTGGGCTTTGAGAGAGACTGGTGCTTGCTGTAGTTTTAGTAGCTGTTATTGCATTTTTTATCTGTGTACTTTGCAACTTATCGAGTTTCCTTGACCATTAATGATTGTTTTTCCTGGATCAGAGGTATCTTATAATTTACAAAATTCTCTAATTATTCTTGGTAATGTTACCCTCACCCATTAGCGTGTCTTTGTAAGGCTTTTTCTGCCTCCCTTTTAGCTAATTGGCGTGTTTAGAAATTAATATTACTCAGGGATTGAGTTGATTGCTCAGGATTTATGGTAAGCTCAGAAAAATCTCAAAGATTATATATATCTTGAGCATCGGTCGAGTGTATCTGCATACTTGTAGATATACATCTATTTTTATTTGGCAAATATGTCGGCTACACATTGTAAAGATCAAACACCTGATAACCGGTATAATGCAGCACTGTGACTATTAGTCCCAAAATCTGAGATCCAGTCTAAGGGATGCATTGAATACAAGTCACAAGACCATCGGGTTAATCCTAGGATGGGCAGGTAGTTTTACGGTGGTACAATCAACCGGTTGGGTAAAAGAAAAAGCAAGGTACTTGTATGAGGGCTTGAGCTCGCTACTATGTCGAAGAAGAACAGCAAATGAGATTGCTGCATCCTATGTTGAGTGATGATGCGCTGATGGTCATCCGGGCAGGCAGCCAAAAGCGTGACCTGGAAAACTCGAAACCGCTTTGTCATATGATTGATCAAGTCTCGAGAGGGAGGGTCCCTAGTGGTGTATGTTAGGCTTCTTCCTTGGTGGTGTACTTTAGGCTTCTTCCTTGGGCGGTGAGTTTAACCTCGTAGGAAAGATGGAAGGCTATCCATTACAATTAGCGTATCTCTGTAAAGCTCTTTCTGCCTCATTTTAGTTAATTTTCATGTTTAGGGATTAGGCAGGATTAAGCTTTATTCAAATTCTCAGAAATTATGGTAAGTGTAAGAAGGAAGAAAAAAAACTCTAGCTTGGAACAGTGATCGAGTGTGTAGCATGGGACTATATAATGTATCTGCGCACTTGTAAGATCAAACACCTGATCACTGGCTACCAAAAGGGTTAAAACATCCTGAGACTATTAGTCATAAAATCTTAATCCCAGTCTGAAGGATGAATCAAAAGCAAAGTCAAAGACCAATGGGTTAATCCCATGGTAGGTTTTTAGTTTTACAATATTATAATTAACCCTGTCAGCTATTAAAAGAAGAAAACAAATGCTTCTTCCAACAAAAAATAAAAATAAAAAAAGAAGGAAATACTCTTATACTGGCATGAGCTCACTACTGATGACTGGATTGACCAATTGCTTAAACACTAAACTTGCAGCATTGAAGAAGATCAGCAAATAGAAGATTATTGTATCCTTGTATTCTGTGATGGTCATTTAGGGAGTCAGTCAAAAACTTGATCTGGAAAACTGAAACCTCTTTGCCATCTGATTGATCGAAAAGGTGGGCCTGGGCTTTAGTGGTGTACTTTAGGCTGCTTCACGATCATCACAGAGCAGTGAGCATGGTGGGAGCAGTGATCGCTGACGCTGCCCAGAACAACCCTGCAGAATTAACAAGGTTGAGTTCAGGGATTCATTGGTACCATCTTTTAAAGACTTGAAAATAGGTTCACCTTTTCAAAGCCCCATATCCATGGCTACCGAGAACCAAGAGAGATGCATGATGTTTGTCAACGGCATCACACATGACCATCCTGGCATCCCCTTCGATCACTTCAAATTCTGCATCTTCCACCTGCATAGAAAATTATGATTGGCTTGTCGTAATCATGCATCAGGCTCTTATCAAACTACAGAAACTATGCACTATACAAAAATGATGCTCAAAATTTTCAGCTTCCTCACTTCTTTTTCCTTGCAGAGTTCCTTAGCTTGCTCGATAATCCTATCAGCTGTCCTCTTCAGGTCGGCTTCCACAAGTGGCAGCACGTCCGTGGATCCTACAAGCAAACAAAATCTTGTTAATGCAAACAAGAGCATGCCTTAATGCCTTAAAGTTTATTCGATTGTATGCATGAAAGTGAAAATCTGTCAGATGAAAGGGTCACACAATTAATAAGCTTCCTTTTATCTCTGAAAATTTATGAAAAGGAAAGAGGTAATATTCATTTACCAGGTCCTGCAAGTCCAATAACAGAAGTAGGAGGATATTTGGCATGGACAATAACGAGCTTGAACAGGGCATTCGATGTAGGAGTGAAGAAATGGTCCAGGGTCCACTTAAGAGCATAAAAGCTATGCTCACTATCATCAATTGCAAGAAGCATCACTTGTTTCCCACCTGCCATTGTTGTTTATTTGTTGATTAATTTGATGACTTCAGTTAGTCTTCTTGAACTCTGCCTTTTTCCCAAAGATAAATAAAAGTTTTCTTCGTTGAATTGAAAAAATGCCGAGTATGATCGCATCCCATTTGATCATCTTATATAGCTGGTATTCTGGAATCCGCAGGCTGTTAGATTTGGAACGACGATGTCCTTTCCCAATCCGTTGAATTCGGATTGAAAGTTGGAATTTCGTGATGTGTGACGGAGTTCTTAAGGAAACCAATTTTTTCTCCTGAAGACTTGGTCTCTGTCCAATGCACGGCAGATAAACCAGGCAAAGTTTGTTGTACGGTTGTACTTCAACTTCCTGGTCAACTAGCTCTTTGGGTTTGTTTTTCCGTTTTAACCATCTTTTTTTTAAGCATCAATGAAAAGAAAGATGTTGCATTCAGTTCCTACAAATTCTGATGTTTCAATTTATTGAACTCTTTTTTTTTTTTCTTTAGTGAAATGTTCCCTGTTTCGTTTCTGGATTTTCTCTTTTTTACCTCTGTCTTCACATAACAACATCTTTAATAAAATGTAATATACTACTTACTATATTTGCTGCAAGGCCTTGGAGAATTGTTTGCCATATTAAAATTAAGTTGCATTTGTTACAAATCGTCAAATTGAATGGATTTTTTCAAATTGTTATATTCTTTGACATTTTATTATTTTGTTAATGTAATGAAAAAGATTATTTAATACTAATTTTATTTTGTTATCAATTCTATTTTAATTCATTTATACCTTAATAAGGTTTTTTATTACAATTAATTTTTTTCCTTTCTTAATCAAACGAATGCATTAACGTCTAAATGACAAAGATATGTGTATCTCTATTATATTTCATTAAAATGCTTTTTGTTGTTGTTTTCATGGTAACCGTTAGATTTGCATTTTTTTATTTTCTATACTATTAGATTATTAAATTATTTAATAAAGCTTATTTATTATAAGTTCTAATTTGGAGAGAACAACTTTTTTTAAACTTATTGCATTATTAAATTATTTAATAAGCCAGTTTATAGATCGATTGGTTCTCCTATTTTTCCTTTGTTTTGCTTGTAATAAGTCATAAGTCAAATAACGCAATCATTCTTCAACTACTCAACTTTTTCTCAATTATCTAACCAGATTAGATACTTACATTTTTCTTCAAAATTAGATTGTCCTTTATAAAAAAGTCAACCTTTTGATGAATTATCAATTGTACTTCATCAATTTATAACCATTAGATTGAAAGACAAAGTACTAGCTTAGTTCAGTTTTCATAGACTACTTTTTTAGATGAAATTATTATCAACAAACTAATCTTGAATAGTATAGTACACACCCTTACGTACACTATCAACCTTTATTGTGCTTCATTTCCTTCTCGTTCTCACATAGGAGAGAAAGCTCCCTTCACTTTTTTGTTTTCTCATGTTTAGTAATACAATTTTTCTTACTTTTACTTCAACAAATCTATGCATTTATATCTTGCTATAGTAACATATACTTTCTTTTGCATGTTTTGTATTTTCCTTTTATAGCATTACTTTCAGTACTCAAGATTTTTACTTTGCCTTTCACTTTACTCTAGATTTGTCACTTCATTTATTTTATTTAGCACCCGTTAAACCTATATAAATCGATTGGAATTGTCATCAAACACAATATACACTTTTCCTATCAATTTTATTTTATTTTATTTATGCGTTAATACTTGCTTTTTATTACAACAAATTTTTTCCTTTTATTAACCAGCAATGCATTAAGATGCTCTTTATAATATATTTACACATGACACTTAACTCATAAACAATCTTTCAAATTTTGTTACCCTTAAACACTTTAGAGTGGGTACACACAGCCAGGCCTTACTAGTATATCTTACATATATAAAGCGTCGATAGCCTTTGTGAACAGTGCAGGATGAGCCGGTTATCGCGTGATTCTTGTGGCTTTGAGGGGTGTTTTGGTCCTATTTTTGAGGGGCGTTTTGGTCCTTTGTCATTCGGTGTTTAGTGGCTGCGCTGGAATTTCCTTTGTCTGCGTGGCTCTCATTCCTTTCTTCTCATCCGCGTGGCTCTCATGCTTTTCTTCTCATTCTTGGCCTGTTCTTGGTTTTGGGAGCACCGCTTCAATTCCTCATTCTTCTTCTTAGCTTTCTCTGGCCAGTGGCGGTCAGCAACTTTCTGCTCACAATTTTGGCAGTCACCGATTCCTAGCGGTCAGTGGGCGGTGGGGGACGATTTTGCTAGCCAGAAATTTCTGCTCACAATATTGGCACTCACCAATTCTTAGCGGTCAGTGGGCGGTGGGCGGTCATTATTCTTAGCTTTCATTCTCCGCTTTCATTCTTCTTAGCAATTTTTTCTTAGCTTTCATTCTTCTTCCCTTCTACTGCATAGCTGCGTGAACACGAAAAGCACGAAACTATCGATCTAGGAGTCCGCGTCTTCTTAGCTTTCATTCTTCTTCCCTTCCACTGCATAGCTGCATGAACACGAAAAGCGTGAGCGAACTGTCGATTTAGGAGTCCGCTGTCAATCTTGTTTTCAAAGAAGGGGAATTTAGTAAACCCACCGAAGGTTGTCGTTCAATCCTTCCCCCTCTTCAAACTCGGCTGCGGGCGCAGTAGCACCAACTATGTGTATTACCAGCTTTTATTTCGTGCGATGGGTTGGACTTGGTTTTTGGAGCTTAATCCCCTCCCATTCCTCTTCCTCTGCTTTGCTTACATAAAATTGTGTCTTTTTTTGCCCTTTTACAATCAAATTGTTTATGTTTTTTTTTGTGGAATTTATTTTAGTTGGTTTCCGTTAATCAATTTGTACCATTTTTTTTTGTAAACAGTATATTCTCGAAAAGTTGAAACTTGTTGAAGAAAGGCAAATGGAAGGAAGGGACTCACTTTGTTATCTCTGAGCAGGTTTGTATCAATCTGTTTGCATTACAATTGTCAAAGGAATTTAGCTTCTTAGATTCCAGTTAGGAAGAAAGACTTTGGATAGTGGACGTCGATTTTAGTGCTGAACCACTATAAATCTTCTTTTTAATTTTACTGCATTTTGTTTACAATTTGTTTCTATTAACTTATCTTCTTTTAGCTTTATAATTGTTTGGTTGAGTTGGGACAGGTTAATCTGTCCGAAGAATTACTATCATTTCCCATATCAATCTATTTCCCATTAGGTTGGCCTATGCGGGAGAACAATACACACACAAACAATTTATTTCTTTTTTTTTTTTTTTTGGTGTCACTCAAACCCCTGAGGGACAAAACTATCCTGTAATATGCTAACAATTTATATATCCTTTTGGGCAAAAATATTCCATACCAATGAACCACTGAAAAACTTCCAATAAAGCAACAACCATCAACAACTTCCTATATCTATATATATATTGAAGTTGATATTTGACAAAAAAAAAAAAAAAATCAACAACTTCCTAAAAAAAAAAAGAAGAAGAAAAACACAATTTTTTCATTCATATTTTTAAAAAAGAAAAAAATCTCCAACAATTACTAAAAAAATTTAATAATTTTTCCTTTTAAATTTACACATGCATACGGTCTGTCATTGCCACTGGTAGATGATAGAATTGGTTGCCATTGTCATTGCCACTGTCATGTTTATCTGTGTAATTAGAAAAAGACACACACTCAACCACATGACTACTATATCTAACAAAGAAAAAAAAAACACACAAACATAACAGAAAAATAACGAGTCTCAGCTGCCTGATGCATGGCATCAGGGCTAAAAATCTAGTATATATATATATGTACTAGAGAGGGATAGCCCGCGCGACGCGCGGGAATTTGGTGCTTGTGATTCAAGATAATTAATAATTATTGTTTAATATTTTGTAGTATAAGAACTGAAGTATGATGATTGTATCATGTGATTTTAATAGAAAAATCATAAGTTACATAGTGAGTCAATAAAAATAATGTGCAATGAGACATCTTTATCGTTATACTATATAACAATCCGTTGCGATCAAAGGTTATGTTTGAATTTCAACTGCAAAGATAAGGATAGTTTGAAAATGTAAAAATGTTTGAAGTGCAATTGAAAAGTATCCAAAGGTCTCTTCTAAAACTTATCCAAGATGATAAAATATTTTAAAGTATCAATTGGACCCTTCATCTCTCGAATATATATATGTTCGTGAAAGATCCCTCAAGCAATGCTTATGATTTCTCCCTTGACTTAAGCTCAACCTAAATTATCAAGTCAAGTTTATCCATCAATCACTTTGCATCCAATCTAATCTAAAATAATTTTATTTTTGACTAACTATTTATATAATTTGGTGGGCATAATACGACTTAATCACATGTTTTTTTACAAAGATAATAATGCCCAAAAATGATAGATAGATAAGAAACTTAAGTGGTCTTTTTCAAAATTTTGTAGAAACTATTCAAATTTGGTGTTTTTTGCTAGGGGCATTTCTTTATAATATCATAAATAAGTTCAAATCTGCATAATTGTTAAAGATCTGAATTGAAACTATCTTGATTATAAACAATTGGTGCAAATAATATTTTCTAATTTTGAAATTGTAGAAAATGGTAACTAAAATCAGAAGAAATTCCTCATATGAATTCGAATTGCAAACTATAGGTAGAAACTGCTTAATGATTTTTCAATGTTTACTTATATAAGTATCCAATATAACATTTCTACTTAATTGACTCGTTTGAACTATGGATAATAGTTGCTTCAATCAAATCAAGAAACATTATTTATCATTGTACAACATACAATTATGAGTAAATGAATTAATACAATGCAATCAAAATGGTGCTGTAGCTAAAGCATTTAAACTCATCAAGATTCACTACAAATTCTTTTAGATAGCATAAAAAACAAATTTTTTGTATTTGAAACTATATAAACAGTATAATACAAGAACGAGATCATAACATGGAAAGCAAATAGAGTGCAAATGACATCTTAGTACTATGTAGCATGATTAATTTTCTTTTTTAGTTTCAATGAAGTACAAAATTCTAAGTTAATAAATTTTACAATCATAAAATTTCCAATTAAAATAAACACAAGCTGGATTCCAAATCATATTACATGAAAAAATAACTACTTGAACCATAACTGCTGGAATGTAGTCAACAGATCCCTGGAGTCAAGAACAATATGAGAAAGTTCATGAGAAATAAGGTTATTTGACTTAAATAAGGAGATAATACCTTGGCCGAGGAGGAGAAGATGATAAAATTGCTTTTCTGATTATTTTAAAAAATGACAACATTATCTCAAATTGTACTTTGATCAGAGACAGAATCTCTAAGATCTACTAAGGAAAACAATACAATTAGTCAGTTTTTGGAATTAGAAGTATCAAAAGGCAAACTATATGGAGTTGTTGAATAAACCAATCATCAGAAAAAAAAAAACTACAATCGAAGAAGACAAATCTAAAGAACTCACCTCAATTTAAAGGAAAAGCTATGCATTCCACCAAATATTTAATAGCCATAATAAAACCAAAGAGGTGAAACCGAAAAAGAAGAAAGGGTATCGGCTAAACATGGGGACATAAATATGATAATGATTGTTTAGATAATAATTAAGTTAATTAATTGTAATTAAAATCCAATTATGTAAACATCCAATTAATTTCTTAACGGATGAGAAAGGTTTCAGGAAATTGGAAGGCTTGGATGTTAGTATAATAAATGATTAAAAGGACTTTTATGTAATTCTATCAAAACACAAGCTTTATTCAGTTGTACTTGATACTCAACTTGGTACCAAACATTGTAACATACCAAACCTGCCCCTAACCTTAAATGTCTGAAAGGTTATATAAGTAATTATAGTGAAATTAAAGCTATAATGACTTGTACTCAATGTTCCAATTACTCTTTAAACACTCTCACATTCCCAAAATAGCCTCACCCCTGCGGTTGAAATCTAGTCCTAAACTCGTTCTTATATAGTATATATAAGGATATCTTCTCACACAAAATTGGAGAGAAGACCAGAGAGGGCTTTTATATTCGTCACGTGTTGGGTTGTGTAATCAAGCCCTCTGCCAATTTCAGCCCACATCGCGTTGCCCAAGACGTGACGAATATAAAAGTACACTCGATAAATTAATGAATTATTTATTAATTTATGGATTAATTAATATCTCCTTAAATTAATACAATTTATATGGTCCCAAGGTTATTAATTCATAGTGATTTTACTTTATTGTTTCGTAAGGTTGATAGGTTGTTCAAATCAAGTAGCATACTAAAATTAGATTAGAACCTTTCACCTCCTTCTTAATTGCGCCTCTTTAGTAATTTTGCAACCCCCCCAACCTATTTATGTTCACCCTTGTATATCTTACTTGGCCTCCAACTTTTTTTGTCAAAAGCAAAAATTCACTCTTATTTATTAATTTGCAGAAAATCATCCTAAGTGACCAAAGAATTTCGCTGCCACGGCCACGACCGACGACGGTCTTGAATCTAAAAGGGTAGTTTGCGCAAGTTTTAACAGTTTCAACGACCGTGACTTCAAATTCGGACGGAGTATGCATATTCCATTCATGTATACTCGGACAAATTTTTAATTTCTTGTTACTTTGTCGGACAAAATTTATTTTCTTCAAGCAATCCCTTCTTAGTTTCCGCAATCAAGTTACAAACCATCTGTAAATAGAAATCCTCTCTTTTGCTGGCTTAATTGTAACGTTTTGTGTTGGTTTGGTGGTGTAACGTTTTGTGTTGAATTTGATCCCGCAAGCTTTTGGCTAACGGATGCTCCGGTCCATGAGTCTCCCTCAGGCTTTAATTTTTGTCTGCAAAAGTGGGCTTGATTGGGAAAAATGGCTAATTGAGGGAGGATCGAGATCGATATGATATGCGTCTTGTGTGTATTCGCATGGTATGTTACCTACAATTTAGGTGTGTACAAATGCATATGCATCCGTTGGAAACTCGAAAATAGTGCACATCTGCTATTCCTTTTCTCCTCCCTAAATTAGAAGAAGTTGCATAAACGATAGTATGTATCAATTAACGTTTAACAAGTCCAAATCTGTTAAAACTCATCCAACTGGTGTGATAACACATCTTTTACCTCCCCATTTCAGTTCGGTTGGACTCAGGATCTTCGAGTATCATGCACGGATTATGTCATACAACACCAGTAAGGTTTTTTTGTTTGTCTGGTCAATGGAGGATAGTAATAGTTCCTGGCTTCACGTCGAATATACCTGTTAAGCCTGCCTTACATTCTTTTATGATCCAGGTTATTGACAAGAAGGCAGGAAAAAGTTACATTCTTGACATGGACAAAGAGTACGTTACAGTTTTGTCCCTCTGTAGGATGTGTCTCTATTCTAGTTTTGGATTGTTGACATGTATTGCTGTTTGATTCAGGATTGGCTTTCCCTGTGTACTTGAAAATATTTTGCTACTAATTAACACTGCTGTTGCTATTAACCCATTTTGTAGCTTACGAGGAATCCATAATGCAAATCCATTTCTTTGTCGTTGTTAGTGTTTACCATGAATCTGATTTCTGATTGTAGTCAAGATAAGACTAACTCGAGTGTCAATGCCCAAATACTATAGACAAAATCTTTGACTTGAAATAATGGAGGATGGCTTTACTCAAACCCCTATTTTGTACCTGCATTGCTTTCTGGAGATTGTATTTATACTTTTGAAAGGTTATCATGCTCAACACTCAAGCATAATTCGAATGTAGGCATTAGTACATGCTACCGTCTCACTGTGATTACCTTTGGATATCGGTTTCTTTCGACTGTTTTTTGGTTATATTTAGTGTATAAACAGTCGGCGGGAAATACTAGTTTGTCTGGTCGTTTCATGGAATATTTCAAAATCTTTGATTGGTTACTGTGACTGCATTTGTATGTTGTTTTTTGTGTTTTACTTTTACTCATTAAACATAGCATTGTATCTTTGTATTTTCAATCAAACATGCGTCAAATTTTGCTGGGAGATGGACTTGAGTTTGTCAGGAAAACCAGATATTGCAAATTTTTTGCAAAGCAAAAAAAAATCTGTTGTTTTGCATGAAGTCTTGTAGTTACCATGACCCTGCAAAATATTATATATATTCACTCCCACTGGAGTATTTGTTTGATGATTCTCAGCTGCGTCCAGCAGTACTGAGTGTTAGGGAAGGGACTTTGTTAACATCCGAAATAGGCTCTATTTTTTCGGTGGAGAGAAGCCTTTTGAAACTTAGGTTGGTCCTTGCTGGCCCGTCCTACAAATTTCATACACCTGATCCCAACTTTGAGGTTGATGATCCAAGTACCGGTAGTTGGCGTAAACTTGCGAGCCTGCCTCTGTTGGAAGAATCTAGCAACTATTTTGTTGGCCGTACAACTTTACGCCTCTCTATGTGGTTATTGACAATAAGTTATGTGTTTCATCAGACCGTGCCTCATTTGCCTATAACATGGTGGAGGACAAATGGGAGGCTTGTAACCGAGCTATTTCTATTTGACGGTTTCAATGGTGAGCAGTGGAAAAACTACATCACTAATCCTAGCGATACAGTGTGTGGTCCTCCATTTGACTTCTATGGGAATGTCATTCATTATGAGGAGGACATATTATTATGCAGTGGAAGAAGTCCCTTTCTAGCGGTGGCATACCAAATGGATAGAAGGAGAGTTGTTAGGAAACAGAAGCTTTTGTCTTGTTGGGCTCATAATATTGCCAGTTTGGTTGATCTTGGAGGAGGTTATTTTTGTTGCCTGCGTGATACACATCCCAGAGACTATAATGATCCAGATTTTGCCTATTTCACGTTCAAGGTTTCAAAAATGGGTGGAGTTGTCAAGCATGATCCGAGATGTGAGTTCTTGGAATGTGAGATTTTGAAGGAATGGGTAGGTAGGATGAACTTGGAGCAAAGTTGCGAACTAGTTTCTCCCTTCATAGACAATGCAGTTCTAGGGAGCATGCGATAGTAAAATAGTAGCCTGAAATTAAGTGAGGGGCATGGATTGGAGAATGATTCTCGCAACTGAGCAAAGCCTATTATCAATGCGACAATAGAAATTCTGAAAGTTGCAAGGACCCGTATTAGTCTGTACAAAAACCTGGGGAAACAGCAGAGATTAATTAATTACCATTTGATATCATTAGATGTTTCCATTTCCATTAGATATAATATTCAGATATTTCCAAGAAAATTGGGTGCTAAACTAGAGATGATTTGGAAAACAAGTGAAACAGAACATTTGACAACTATTATGAGATGGTTCTATTCTCATATATTTCATCTGTATCCACCGGTATTCATTGATTAATTATTCAACACCATGATTGCTTTGTCAACTTGGACTATGATATCCTAAATTCAGATTACGCCACATGCAGAGGCTAATAACAAATGCTCACCTTGTGAGATCCAATCATATATACCATCAGCCTTAGGCTGATGGCCACCACCAAGCCTTTAAGGCTTTGGTGGGGTGGGAGACAAGGTTCTTCAAAAAATTGTGGTTCTTCAAAAAATCCAGACGGGTGCGTGGTGCATCCGTTTGGTCCGGTGGTGATTCTGTCCCCATCGGTCTCCCCCTAGATAGAGTAGGAGTAGAAGTAGGGTTAACGATTTAAGAAAAAAAAAAAAGAGATCCATCATATATTATAACTCAAGTTTTGATCTTATGAATAAGGCCATTAGTGGTAATATATACCAGCACTGCATCATTACTACTCTTTGGGAAGTTGGTGCATCATAGCTTATAGCGCATAGGGTGGTGGGAGCTAATTACCAGCTAAAGAGTCTCAGTGGATGGATGAAACCAACTTTAATTCAAATTGCACTCTTAATCGTTGAATCTCATCAACCCCACCCCACATACTTTAAGTAAAAGCAAGGCTTTTTTTTTTGCAAAAGAAGTGTACAGCAAGCCATGATAAGTTAGGTAATTTATATGCACATCTTTGTATACTTAGATTCAAAAGTGCTTACGGCTCCACGTTTGAAATACGCAAGTATGTATCATTCTTCTTCTTTGTTGCCCACCTAATCAAACTCGTCCAAGAAAACTTCTTTTCTTTTTGTCTAATTGAAGTGGCTAGGTTGATTTAAAAAGAATAGAAAATTCTCAGTTAAATTTGATCCATGTAAAACTCATGTACTGAACCTTGTGCAATGTAGATTAGATTAGTTAAGTACAACACATAAACCGTTAACGTTGACACGATAAGTTTACAAGATGCTATAACATTAGCTAGTTTGGGAGATGAGATTTGAACAGAAAAGAAAGGAATAGAAGAGAAAGACTGGATCTCGCACATTTGAGAGTTTTAAGTGAAAGGAAAGGAAAAGAAACCGACGGAATTGGAAGGAGGAAAAAGTAGCTACAGTTTAAAAAAAATTTCCGGCCCAAATCGGGCAGAAAGCAAAGGAAAGCACGGAAAGGCAGCAAAAAGTTTTTTAAATTGCCCATTCTACCCCTAAAAAGCTGTTGAATGAAATATTTATTTACTTATGTGTCCAAAATCACTTCTTTTCTTTCATAAACTCCCAAACAACATTAAAACCCCTTCCCTTCTTTTCTTATCTTTTCTTTTCTCTCATAACTTAACCTTTCTCTTCCTTTCTTTTCTATCCTCAACTCACAAACTAGCAGTGAAAAGACTTTGGACATGTATTAAAGATAATGGAAGAATAGAGGATATTGAGGAATCCCTCGTACTTTCATATATTTTTTTCCACTCAGGGTGTCCTAACTTTTTTTTGACCAGACTAATCCCCTTAAGGCCAGCAGAGCCCTGCCTAAGGATATCAGCAATTTTACCACAGTAGGCTCGAACACGGGATCTTACCGTAAAAACGGACTTACCAGTCCCGGCTGAGCTACCCGTGGGTGCTCATACTTTCATATTTAGTACAGCTTGATTTGTGTGCTTTGCAAGTTGGAATAGCTATGATCATGATTATCGAGATTTTCAATTCAGAGTTTTCGAAAAGAAAAGGCAAAAATTATTTGAACAGCAATATAGGCATCAGACTAGCTGCAAATTGCACTTGTGCCAAACTTCTCATAATAGTTGCATGTGATGGAAATGTAGCACCTCCTGTCCTGCCAACCAACTCATTGGATTAGGACGGAGGGCTGCCACTATTCGGGTGGTTCACATTAATTAACTTCAATCAACTTGGAATGAAATTGACCATTAATTTATACTAGTATGTACTACTCCTTTGCCATGAATACACACACTACTATCACTATGCATAGAGAAGAAAAGAAAAAAGAAAAACAAACGAATAAAAGATAGCAAGAAACTGATTAAGGATCTTCCTAAATATAGAGTATAGTCTATCTGAGAGGCCGGCAGTCAAAAGCATCTTGTAAACTCCTAGCGTCCATTTCCACCTAAAACATTTAAATAAAGGAAACTCCTAGTCCATATCATATTACAACCTCAGAATGAGTACAGAGTTGTTCAGATTTTCTTCCTTGCAATTATATACCAATTGTCTCCCGAAAACAAGAACTTGGACACGATTCTGTTGACTATTACTACAATCAAATTTACTAACTTTTGCCTTGTTTAATCAGCCCTTTTTTTTTCTAATCGTGATTCATTGTAAAGGGTCCACTCCATTCCACCGTAGTACATCTGCAAGGTTCTTGGATAAGGAAGCGAATTAAGATGACGAAGGTTCTTGGGATCAGACATTGCATTGCCAAGAGATCAGTGCTTCGGTTGCTTTTACACTAAAATCCAGAGACCGCCTCACGTGCATACTATTCAAGTAATTAAACATCAAGAATTGTTATAGACAAGAGAGTTCCACCCACCCATGCCACCAACCCCCCCCCCCCTCTCTTCTCCCATCTCTCCAAAACCAGAAAAAAAAAAAAAGAAAAGAAAAAGCGAAATGGGTTCTAAGTTCCAACTTCTGAGCCGTGCATAATGTATAGGTTTACATATTGAGCAGGCAGGCAAGCTTAAGAGCATGAGTTGTCTGATAAAACATAAATAGGTTCAAGAAAAAGAAAAAGATCCCATTTAGGTTCTTTAGTTATGAGTCTTGGGTGGAACTCAATGGCAGAATTTCGCATGTATAACTGTTTTTCTTATTTAATTTGCCCAATTTATTTACCAGCTCTTTGAATGGAGTTCACACATCGAGGTTCTTGTTTGTTCTATTTTGTGGGGTGGGACATTGACGCATTGTTGATAAGATGAATTTGCATATTCGATTTATCTAAACAGCAGAAATGAAAAGTAAACCACCTCTTGCTTTCTGATTTTAACATAGTATAGGGTTATTTTGTGGTCTTGGCAAGAAGTTATTTATTGTCTTCTAGCATCTTTGTTTACTTGGACCATCAATATCCATGGCATTCATTAGTGTTTATATATATATAATTTTTTGTCAGAGAAGAACTATAAAGAGAGGGGGGGTCTCAAAATCAAGAAATGATGATATTTTTATGGTGGCATCCGAATCAAATAGATATTTGTGCATTTTTTTCAACTAA